CTATCTAGTCACTGTAATACTGCAAACAAAGTCAATCATTATACACTTGCATATTTATAAATTATTTCATTTGTTTTACACAGAGAAAACAGTATTAATCTTTGCAGCATTTGGTGCTTTTTTACTTTCTTCATTTCTGAAAAGTACTGAAGTCTTGATTATTTTACCATGAATCCATCTTAATATTACAGTAACAGTAATAGGGCACTCTTTCTACTGAGTCAGGTGCCATGGCGGATATTTTAGAGCCATTATCTCATTTAATATGCACATAAATGAAGTAAATATAATTTATAGCTTAAATGAGGAAACTGATGCTCAAAAAATACTGAGTGGCTTAGTCAAGGTAATACAGCTAGTAAACGATGGAGCTAGAATCCAAAATCCAGGTTTATCTAATTCTAAAATCTATACCATTTCTCCTACACTACATTGTACAGTATTAGACTGAATCTACTAAATTCTACTATTACATCTCTGATATTCATTTAAATTATTTATATTTAATGTTAAGAAGAAAACCTATATATCTATAAATGATAACCATAGCATATCAGGATTTTACTGTATATATTTATATTTTTAGCATCCAGAACTAAACCCTAATACATTTTAATCTAGGAAGTAGCGGGTTATGTTAAAATAGTAAGCCATTGTTTTAGGTTAAGCGCTAAGAATTGCTCCTGAAATGATGTCTCATTCAGAGAAGGCCTGTTCAGTCCTCCTCCAGGACAATGGGCAGCACAGAGAGTGTTCGATTTAATTAGTTGTGTATGTAGAAGAGACAGTCATCTGTTTCCATGGAGTCAAACACATCACTGACATACTTCTCCATGGAAACAGAGAAAGGAAAACAGAAAATGCTAAAGTGAATGAATTCACTGAGCAGTTGGTGAACAAAGATTCAAGAAAACAAAAATTCATCTGTAGTACTATATGTCTAGTTTAGAGAAATAGCACATATTTAGAGATCATCAAACATGTACTACATAAGAGGATGTTTAAAATATATTGCAATTTTAGTTACCATTTTAGTGCAAATACAAAAGTGCTGGGAAATGCCACAGAGCAAAAGTGTGACTGTATGTACACAGAAGACATAATGGAACAGTCCTTAGAAGATAAGCAGTGTTTCCTCAATCAGTAATGAATCAGGAGAGCCTTAGACAGGATGACAGAAAACACAGGGAATCAATCTATCGATAAATTTATAAACTCAATACTGGCTTCACATCATAATTGCATTTTGGTTTTTAAGAATTTTTCTCTTTGGGGATATAAAATTATAGGAAAGTTTCAAGTTTTATAATGAAACACATTAATTAATTTGTATGACTGAGCTGGTTAAAGTATTTTTAATCTGCACATTTTGTTTTCGTTGAAGGTTATATTTTTCATTAAAATAATGAAGAATTCATTCTATATGGTTCTTTTTCTTGAGGCAGTCTCATTAAAAAAAATTTCCCCCCCATGGAATTTAGTGCCAAGCTGCCTCTGAATTCAATTTAATTCAACTCAATGCTCTTTCAGTCCTGACCCTCAAGATAATTATAGACAACCAGGGAGGAAAGATACTTAAAAATGATTATACTATTTATTCAATTCTTCCACAAATATATTTCATGTGCCTTTGATATGTCAAGTACTTTGCTGTATTTTGTGGATAGAGTGGTGCATTAAACTGACCCAGTCTACTCTCATGGAGGCTACTAGCCTGTAAAAGGAAAAGGCATTAAAATAGCCATACACATAATGTACAGTTATATAATCTGAGACAATTTCTATGAAGGAAAACTACAGAGTGTCAAGAGAGATCATCATGAACAGATTTCACTGAGATTGGAGCAGATTTGTTTGAAGAAGTGGCCATAGAGTAGAGACCTGTAGGGTAACTAAGAGTTAGACAGAGACCAGGAAAACAGCATGTCAAGTGAAAGCCATGAGATGGCAGGTTTGAGAAACTGAAAGAAAGCAAATTTCTCAGAAGACAGTGGTGAAAAGTGAGGTTGGAGAGGAAAAGAGGTACATATAGCTTTTTAAATTTCATTATAAGCATAATGGGAAGCAATTAAAGAGTTTTGACCACAAAAATGATATCACTGTATACACCTTTTTTTTCAGTTCAAGTAGAAATGGAACATTTGGGAAAAATAACTCCAAAGAGGCAAAACAAAATTCTAGCATTTAAGGGTGTATACTTATAAGTGGTAAAACAAAAATATAATGATTACTATAAAAGTCAAGATAAAGGGTAGGGCTACAGCTCAGCGGCAGAACACATGCTCAACATATGTAAGACTCTGAGTTTGATTCCCAGCAAAAGAAAGAGAGAAAAAAAGAGGTGGGAGGAAGAAGGGAGGGGAAAGAAGAAAAAATTAATCAAAATAGTAAGTTACTCTAGAGGGGAGGAGAGAATGCATTAGGGACTTTTGGAGGTACTGACAATGGAGATTTCTTGACAGTGGTGGTTACATGGGTGTTTGCTTTATATTCATGTATTAAATTTTTATCTATGTGTATATATCAAAATAGCACTGTATGTTTTGTTTTCTTTTAATAAAAGAGTAGATTGAGGTGAATAATTAGGGACACTGAATGCAGATGGCCTAAGAAGCTTGGTTTTGGCAGCAGATAATGATAATTGCCCTCCATCCATTCTCTAATTCTTTTTAGGAACTGTGCACCCTCAGTTTTGGTTGGAAATGACACCATCTAGGAAAAGACATTTTTAAGTTTCTTCTGTCCTAAGTGTGACTCTGTCTAACTCTGGCCCACCTTCTTAATGACAAATTTCTCTCTTTCTCTCTTCCTGCAATCTGGGTTTTAACTACAAAGAGAAGATTTGCCTTGAATCCAGACAGGGAAGTTAAATAGATGTTGAGAATGGCAGAGCCACGCCCAGCAGCATCCCTGGTTGATTCTGTGAAACAGTGACATATATCTACCCTAGAATGCCCATGTACTTTTGAACTATTATGAGAATGAAATATTATCCTTCTGACTTCTTTAAGTCACTGTGTGGCAGTGTAGATGTGTACTAATAACAGTTGTGAGGAAACGTTGAAAGAGATGGCAATACTTAAAGTGGGATATAGGAATAGGAAAGAGATTATTAAATGGAAGAGACAATAGAGCATGCTTAAAATGTTGACATGAAGAATTTAGAATAGAAGAAAGGGGAAAAAAGTTGAAACTACTGTAATCAGAAGTTTAAAAAATAGAGCAAATTTTGTGAGAAAATAGAAGGGGACAGAATACAGAGCTTGTGTGGAAGAACTGGCCTTTGAATGAAAGAGGGAAATTTATTATATTTTAGCAGGAAGTAAGAAGAGGATGTATATGGATGTAGCACTATTTGTAGACATGCTAAAATATGAGAATTCCTACTCAATGTCTTCATTTTCTTTTAGGAAGCAAAAGGTATTATCTGAGAATGAAGAGAAAGGAAATTGGCAGTCATAAGCTTCAGCAGAGTGAGAAGGTACCGAATGTTTGCTATGGAGAAATGTAGCATGATGAGCATTAAGTTCTGAATACTTATTTGAAGAGGGGAATCATGAATTTGGGGCATTATGAGCAATAAGTGTTGAGTGCTTATTTGAAGTGGAGAATCATAAATTTGGCATGTTATGAATCTTCCAGCCAGGTTCAACTGCTTTGGGGTTGCCAGGAATAGATGGATTAGTTCTATCCAGAGTTGAGAGAGCAAAAGGAAGTAAAAAAGAGAATTTTTCCAAGAGGATTTTAATAACAGACCACAGAATCAGGACTGAATAGGAAGAAAGGTACAGACAGAAGCCAGTGGTCAAAACTAGAGATGATAATGGACCAGAAGTCTCAGGGAGGATGAGAAACTACTATTCTCATTAGTAGATGACTGGAAGTAAAAGTGTTTTGGATGAATGGTGAAACATTCAAATGAGTGATTTGGAGGTTGTGGAAGATGTCAAATTCAGGGAGGGGCTGTGAATGTAGGTAGTTGAGGTAAAGCAGGGATGATGTCTCTGTAGAGTAAGAAAAATCTTCATAGAGTATGAGGTAAATAGTTCCGTTTTTAAAGGCCATTATCAGTTTGCTTAGTAAGAAAAGAAGGTAAGTTGGTAGAAGAAAGAAAAGAGGAGAAGAGGTAGATTGTGTAGAGAAAAGACAAAATTTATGGCACACTAGAGAGTAGAAGTAACTGCCAGCCTCGCCAGAAGTTAGTGTACACCTGTATAAACTACTGAAGAAAGTGGAAATGTATAATGAAAACAAATTCTGAAGGAACGAGTATGGAAGTTCAAGTAGTTTGGACTTGATTTTGCATAACAAGCTGTCAGTCATGATGTCATCAGACACTGATACCTACAAAGATTACCAAAAATCTATTTCATCTATTCTTCTTGGGACTTGTAAATTTATGATTTTTATAATTCTGGAAAATTCTTAGCTACTCTGTCTTTAAATACTGCCTGTCCATCTTTCACTTTGTTCTCTCCTTCTAGAATTTCTACACTTCTATCTATCTATCTATCCAAATAGATGAAAGGGATAACATTGAATCAATTTTAAATAATTAAAGTTTACTTACAAACATTAGCACTTTGTCAAGTCAGAATTAACTTTGTGTATACTGCACATTAAATCTTAAAAGATCATTCTCCACGGTCTCATTCTAGATGTTTTATAAAGATGAATTAATCCCCTTTCTAATTACATATATATTTTCTTGACTCTAATAACACCTACATACTATTACTTTTTAAGAGTATCTAGACTCTCTACCAAATACATGAAAAATTTTTGAATACTTTTCACTTAATCCTAATCTATATTTTTAAGTTTCAGAATTAATTTCTTTGTTAACCAAGTCCTGGAATAAAATATAAATAATATGTTTCCATAAATAATATATTTACAACAAAATGCATCAGTACATTGCAAATTAAAGCTAAGATTAACCAACTCCCTTAGGACAAAAAATTGTTTTTACAGTTTCTGAATTTAAAGGGATTGCTTACCTATGATGAGCCTCTGAAGAGCACCCTTATCTCCATTCACTGCAGCAGCATGAACTTGTGATGCTGATGAGGAACCAGTAAAGAGTAAGTTCTCTGATCTGTTCATAGTCTTTTCAACAACCGGAGCAACCTATAACAATGATTCAGACAATGACTTCATGCAGGAAATTATCTTTTCTTTTCTTTCTTTTTTTGGGGTATGTATGTATGTGCATGTGTGTGTGTGTGCATGTGTGCTCATTTTGGTAAAAATACATCTCCTCTCCAAAATAGTTTGAAGCTGACCTGAACAAAGAAATTGAAATACGGTGATGCTAATTTCACATGAACTTCAAGTGTATAATCTAACTGTATTTACCATCTTCTTTACTCTAAAAACCTTTGGCATTCTGGAGCTGGGGGTATACCTCAGTGGTAGAGCACCTACCTGGCATGTGGCATGTGCAAGGCCCTAAGTTCAATCCCCATCACCACCCGCCCCCACACACACAGAGACACAAACAAATTGAATATCCATTTATCAATATCAAATCAATACACTTAGTTTTCTCCCTTTAGGAAGTTTCCAACCAAATTGATGTTAAATTAGTTGGATATAAAGCAAGGAGACTCCAGTTTCAGCCTAGAAAGAGCAGTCCCTGCCAAATCTGGCTGTTTCCTGTACCCAGACCTCAAATCAGTCTTAGTTCCCTCTAACTAACAAGGCTGGAGCGCAGCACTAGTAGAGTTAAGGCCAATGTCACCCAAACTTGTCAGTGGACACTTCTGCACCATTCAATGCTCATGTTGATGGGTGATAAAAAGAAGCCTAGGTTTTGGAATAGCATAAACATTACTGACCTAGTAAGTATGATCAAAGTCCTGGTCTGGGATAAATGATACAAAAAAAAAAAAAAAAAGGAAATGAAGACCTCCAAATATTACTGCTGAGATTTTTTTTTAGTTTGACGTTAAAACAGCTGAAAATGGTTTCTTCCATACAAGGACAAGCTGTGTACTGATATCTCTCAGAATTAATTATGTCTCCGTCTCTAGCCTCAGTTTAAGTTTTTTTTTTTTTAATATACCATTCCTATGTCCAAGCCAAGGTAAAAAAGGAGTAAAGGACAAGAAGCCCTCCATCTAGAGACCCATGATAGAACACACTCTAGAAGCCAGTGGGTATGAGCATATTCGAGTTACACAGTTTGAGACTATGAGTCCACAGCAGTTTTTCTTCTATTACTGGGACATCCATCTTGGGCAGCTTGAAGGTTGTTGGATATTCAGCTATTTGGGTGGTCTGGGCATGGATCAGCTCCATGGGAGAGGACTTCTTGGTTTCTTTGTAGTCCTGGATGACAAAACCTCCGGGTGTTTTATGATTAGAGAATTTATGAGGACACGAGTAGCTTTAGCCTTAACCTTGTCCATATTGTCAGTGATCCTTGAAAGGGTCATGGGGGCTGGTTGGTTTCTTTCCTCTTCCTCCTCCTTTTTTATTTTTGAGGGGGTGGGTACTGGGGATTGAACTCAGGACACTCAGCCACTAAGCCAAATCCCCAACTCTATTTTTAATTTTATTTAGAGACAGGGTTTCACTGAGTTGTGTATCACCTCACTGTTACTGAGGCTGGCTTTGAACTTCATCCACCTGCCGCAGCCTCCTGAGTTGCTGGAATTATAGGCATGCACCACCGTGTCCAGCTTTTTCCTCCTTCCTAATGAGGTGCTGATACTTGTACTCTGGAATCACTGTTTTCCAGGGGATGCTGCCCATGTTTGATGAAGAAGGAATGATGGGTGCAGGGTCCTTGGGACATCATCAATGCTGAATATCCAGAGACACATCTGCATGGGCAGGGACATATTGTCCACAGGCCCACTAAGTCCAAGAGCCAAGAACAGAGACACTATGCACTTGTGGTTGTCCTGAATCATTAAAAGACTGGGATCCATACGCTTTTCCTATGTATAATTCAGGGCTGAGACAATTCACAATAGCTAAACTGTGGAGCCAACCTAGATGCCCTTCAGTGGATGAATGGATTAAAAACTGTGGCATATATACACAATGGAATTTTACTCAGCAATAAAAGAGAATAAAATCATGGTATTTGCAGGTAAATGGGTGGAGTTGGAGAAGATAATGCTAAATCAAGTCAACAAATGCCCAATGTTTTCTCTGATATAAGGAGGCTGACTCATAGTGGGGTAGGGAGGGGGAACAAGGGAGGAATAGATGAACTCCAGATAGGGAAGAGGGGAGGGAGGAGGGAAAAGGAGGAGGCAGGGGATTAGCAAGGATGGTGAAATGCGATGGACATCATTATCCAAAGTACATGTATGAAGACACGAATTGTGTGTCAACCTACTTTATATACAAACAGAGATACGTATATAGGTGTAATAAGAATTGTAATGTAAAAAAAACCCAAGTACATGTATAAAGACATGAACTGGCATGAAGATACTTTATACAAAGATATAAAAAATTGTGCTCTATATGTGTAATAAGAATTGTAATACATTCTGCTGTCGTGTATTTAAAAAAATAAAATAAAAATTAAGGGCTGAGTCCCTGTCACCACAGTGAAATGATGTCATGACATGCTGTCAGGTGTTCATGAGCAACATTGTCCAGGTGCTGCAAATTAGCAAGGCTTCCCAAGAAAGTCTGATCTGCTGCCTCCAAGCTGCCTTCGGCTCAAACTCTGGCATTAAAGAGGATCCCAGGGACCACATCTCCCAAGAGGATGTGTGCAGCCCAGATCCAGCCATGGTGAGAGCGGCAGCAACACTAACTGCCCCTACCACCATCTAAAGAGCATAAGCTTGCAGGAAATTTTCTGAAATCTGTCTCAACATTTTCAAGTGAGTATATTGTGGTTCACAAGAAATATTCAACTAAGATTAAAAATAACTACAGTCTTAGTCCTAGAATTACCATAATGTGGTAAATTAGGTGACTTCTACACAAATTGCTAATCTGTAAAATTGAGAGGATTGGGGTTCTTTTCAGACCATTCTCAGGGACTGTCTGAGAAAAAACAAAAACAAAACACCCAATAATTAACATTAGGCACAGGATTCAAAAGTCACAATGAAAAAAGAAGTCACAGTGACTTCCAAGTTAATACAGGTAATGATTCCATATAATAATAAATGTTTCAATTAATACAGGGAATCAAGCCAGAAAATGGGTATGACATAAACTTAATTGTCAAGTCAGAATTAACTAGATTTAAGCATTAAATTAAAACTACCTAGTTCTTTTCTTCATACCCACAAAAGGTGAAAAATGTTTTTTTTTCTCTCCTTAGTCCACTAGGACCTTAAGATCTTATTTTATGATTAACATATTTCATTAATGAAAATTGTCTGGCTTGTAGTCTCTTGTGGTTTTTTAAAAACTTCTGGAAGTGTATCAGTTATGTAGGAAAATAGTGAGTTCCCTATAAGAGTATTTAAACAGAGGCTGGACTATGTCAGAAATGTAGTTAAGGATTCAAGCATCTGAGAGAGAAGTAGAAAGAAGTAGGTATATAAATTATCTTAAATGTCCTTCCTAAACCTAAGATGCTCTATCAAAGTTCCAAATTTAAACACCTACATGGATCAGGGAGGTAACAAGTATAAAAATGTAGGAGTCATGGGGTTCAGGCAGAACACATACATTTGTAAAGTAAGTAGCCATTAATTAGCTCCAGTTAATTGTTTCCAGGAAGATAGGCAAGTCCTCTTCTGATTTCACCATAAAATATGTCATTCTAATCTCTGTACTTCCTGTGGACCTGGACCTGGGGGTTTTTCTCCACAAACTCTGGGTTTGCTCCACAACTGATCAGCTAGTACTTGGCATTGATAAGTGCTATTTGTTCAAATTCTGCCTTAGAAATCAGATATTTTTAAAAATTATGGTATAGGTTAGCTTTTAAAGATTTTATGTTGTTATTTTAGTTAGTATGATGGCAGAAAATATAGAGGAAGCGGGTACTGTGAGACAGTTTTCATGTTCAAGCATGTCTGTCATGTCGGAAGAACCACTGTCATATGCAGAATTATATTAAAGTCACTTGGAAAAAATCTACATAACACAGATGGAGATGGAAACATGATGGGAGAGCAGTTACTTTTGGGTTTTAGGCTTAGGTGTGTTTATAATAAGCAGCATCTCTTTAAATTTCCTCAGCTCTCTGGATTTCTCGAAAATATGAAAAGTAAAAAGGGTAGACTATGTTCATTTACTCAACAAGTTGACAGGCAATCAGGCATTGCTTTGAACTCTCATTCCTCACTTGGATTCTAAGTGACTAGAGTTATAAAAGCCATAAAAGTTCTTTATGTACTTTGAAAAACAAATAAAAGTTAGCTTTCAGTTATATGTATATATAAATTTCATCTCATATTTCTTAGCATTTAGAATTTACAGGTGTATAGTTGATACTTAGTACATGTTTGTTGAATTAAAGGTTAAAGGCTGAGTACTAAGTCTAAAGAGTGAGAAGGATCAAAATTTAATTTCTTGGAGTAATGAGTTCATGCAAATGAGTACCTGCTCTTTTTTAATTTCCCATTTCAACTACACATGGGCTCTGTCAGAGAGGGAGGTGAGTGGCTAGTGGTAAGAGCACTGCCCTAGCAGTCAGGAGATCTAAGTGAAAGTCTTGGCTCTACCACTGTCTAATTTTGTCATCCTGCAAAAGCCATTCTTTTAGGGTACTTTTTAGCATTATTATTATTTTTTTTTTTTTGCGCTAGTGTTCTTTTGTAAACCATTTTTTTAATAACCGAAAATCAAAACCACTTACTTAAAGTGCCATAAAATACAAGGGCATCATTAAATAATTATAAAACATGCCAGTGTAATAAATGGTGTAATAATTATAACGGTACAAAACGAGTGGTGCTGTAGTCTCACACAAAAAGAAATTCTTATTAGGAGGACTAAAAGATGGGTTCGTTGTTGACATGTCAGAGATGACAAATGTCAGGGATGATGACATTTGAGATGGAATTACAGAAAGAGAAAGAATTACAGAAAGAAATTTCCCATTTCAGGCAGCAGGAAAACTGGAGCAAAGGCAGGGGAGAACCATAAAACATTGAGTGCCTTCTTGGTACTTCGTGGTTATTATGTGGCTATCCTTCGGAGCTCGAGGACCGGTTTACACAAGATGCTGGCGACCTACCCGGGCCAGGTTAACATCCTTGACTGCTTGGGTAAGGAATTTCGTAATTATTCTGTATGAGTCATCCAGGTGTTAGAAGCAATCAATCTGTCACTGAGCTTTACAGTTTACAACGTGCTTTCCTGTCCCTTACCAGATCGATTCCTCACATGAGCCCTCAAAAACAATAAGGAATAATCACTGACTCCTAGTTCATAACGGAGGATTTAGTGCAGAAGAAGAGGAAGCAGGCAAGGAGGCCAGTGATAAAGGCTCAAGGCCACACAACTCAAGAGGGCCAAGGGTCTGCGGCAGCGGTCAGGGCGGTGCACAGCGATCAATCTGAGCTTCCCCAGCCAGGCCCCTTCCTACTCACCCTCGCCTCCTCCAGGACTGACGTCCGGGGGGCGGCTCTAGGAGGCACGACCCTCACGGGGCCGTCCCTCTCGCCAGGCCAGGACACTACACCGCAGGGTCAGACCCCAGGGCGCTGACGCGGGAGAGTCTCAGAAGGCCGCCCGAGGGGCTCGGCCACACAGCCTTCTGGGAGCTGTAGTTCTTATCCTGAGAAGCTAGGAGGTAGACACCCTCTGCCCTTTCAATCCCACAGGGCCCCGCGCGCAGAGGGCTCGGTGGGACTAGGCCGAGGGCCTACTGGGAAAGGGAGTTCCAGATGTCCGATGACTTGCTCGGCGAGGGAAGCGCAGGACTACATTTCCCGACGTGCCCCGGGGTAGGCAGGACCCGGAAGTGAGGGCGTGCGAGGCCTCTCTGGAAGTTGTCCCGGGTGTTCGCCGCTGGAGCTCCGGGTCGAGAGGACGAGGTGCAGCTGCCGGGAAAATCCTCTACTGCTGCTGGCTCCCGGAGCCCAGCCCTTTCCTAACCCAGCCCAGCCCAGCCCAGCCCACTCCCAGCCGCCAACGCCCGTCCCTGCTGTGGACCCCAGCGTTACCATGAATCCTGCCGTCTTCCTATCTTTACCCGACGTCAGATGCTCCCTGCTGCTCCTGGTGAGTGAGTGGGGGAATGACAGACCTTTCGGCCGACTCTCGGACGCCTCCCGCCCTTGTCGAGGGGGCACCACTGCTGCCCCTGCATTCCTGTCTTTCTCCGATGACCAGGAGTGCACTCTCCCCTGCTGCCTTGACTTTCTCCATTTGTCTGTCGGCTCCCTAGGCCTGGGGTCCTGGAGGCCTGAGGAACCGCGGTCGGGGTTGGGACCTGTAAACAAGAGAATTAGTTCTAGAGGAGTGGTACGTGGGAGGGTCACCATGAGGAGCTCCCCTTTACCGCCGGACTGCAGGGCTTGTTTCAGTTTTGAGGGTGTGTGGACCTGGTGGAAGCCTCAGTGCAAAAGGACGGAGGATAGAACCTAGTGTATTTCCCCCCTCCCCCTTCTCCATTTGGGAAGGCTTTGAAGCCGACAGGTGCTGGGGTCCTGCAGATCTCACTGTAGAGCCCTGAAACGGTGCCCAGGTTGGCAGAACCCTCTGTTGTGGCTTCATAGGATTGGTTGGGAACCCGGAACTGGAAACTGGTTTGGTGTCTACTGGGGAATAAAGGTTTGCAAATATGGAGAGTGTGATTATCTAACAGGCTCAACTCAAGGCCTCCTTCAGATATCTTTACAACCTCCCACTGAAGCATATTTTTTTTTTCTCTTGTCTTGAGACCAGGTCTTCTGCAAACACATGCATTCATTAACTTCCTAACCTGCTCAGTGTCATCCCATTCTATAAAGGAATCTTTCCCTAGTTCCTCTGACTCCAAAGTACATCTTGATTGTGTAACCTAAGTGACCTAGGATTTAGGTAAAATTCAGACAAAAGTGAAGGGCCAACTCAGTGTGACAAAATGATGGGTGTTTAATTGGATAATTATTATAGTACAATATTTGAAACTACTTTAATTGTAGTTTTTAGAAAGCCAAACTTAAAATGAAAATTATTGAGTAAAAACCACTTTCTTCACAATCTAAGGAACATAGTTAAGTAACCCACAGGAATTGGGGATTGAACTCAGGAGCTCTCATATGCTAGGCAAATGCTATACCACTGACTTAAATCCATAGCCTTAGAAACAGGTTTTCTTAACTTACATTGCTTACACCACCTTATCACAGTAAAGATTTACTATTTGTATTTGAAATAGTTTTCTTTTTCTTTGTGACTTGTAAGCCATGTTTAAAAGCCATATATGGACACTACTAGGTCCCTTTCAGAGAAAGCACTATAAAAAACTAGATTAAATGGCAAAATACTTTTTAAAAAATATATTTTTAGTTGTTGATGCACCTTTATTTTATTTATATGCAGTGCTAAGAATCGAACCCAGTGCCTCACACACTTTAGGCAAGCACTCTACCACCGGCTACAACCGCAGCCCTGGCAAAATACTTTTGAGAACTCAGCACTGTATATTAACATGATAATAGTAAATGATGGTACATCTTTCTTTCTTTCCTTTTTTTTTTTTTTTGTACCAGGGATTGAATCAGGGCCCTCGACCACTGAGCCACAATCCCCAGCCCTATTTTGTATTTTATTTAGAGACAGAGTCTCACTGAGTTGTTTAGCGCTTCACCATTGCTGAGTCTGGCTTTGAACACATGGTCCTCCTGCCTCAGCCTCCCTAGCTGCTGGGATTACAGCAAGTAGCTATCTTTTGATGATCTCAAGAACATCTTAGAACATACCACTTTATGCCTGAAAATCCTTTCTGGATAAATAACTGAATACAAAAGTTCAATGTGATAACTATTTTCTGTGCTTTGATGTATGTTAAAATATATTCATTCAACCTTTTCTACTTATTTTTGTTTCTGAGATAGGTTTATTCAGGGTTGAAAGTGATCATCTTCAGCTTTATTCTTTGTATTCTTTCTGCATTGATTGTGTACAAGAGTTTTGGAAATAAGACTACATTGGAATGAAATTGGATCATATATCCTAAGTAACCTCTTCTATGGTTCAAAGTAGCAATAAGATATACCAGCTAAATGATGGTATATCTTACTGCTACTTTTCATAAGTATACAACAATGAATGATTTCTGCATAAAGAAGAATATTCTCTCTAGTGCCGCAGTCCGGCTGGCTGGGCAAAATAGCCGGGGAGTGATGAACAACTTGTGTAGATTGATACAGCAGGAGAGGGAGCCTTTATTGTAGGACAACAGAAGTATTTATACATTCCACACAGCTTATCTTAATTAACATAAAATAGATAACAGCAGTCAACCAATAAGAAATCTCCACACTTAATGGCTCGCTGGCATTACTTCACAAACCACTCCCTCTGGCATTTTGCCAGGCGCCATCCAGACTTGTTTACAGTCTCTAACACTGTAGTGCTTTATTATTATTTGGTGATTTTTTAAAAATATACTGTGATTCTTTATTCCTTCTAGAAATGTTGCAACAATACAATTATTAGAGACCTATTCCTCCTTAAGGAACTAGATACTAATCTTTTTCTTATCTATAAAATGACTTAAAATTGTCTTATAAATTATTTTAAAGTTCCTGAAAAGTACAAAGGGCAAAAATCTTAAGACATTGGTAAGAAAAGTTGAAACATTGAATACGAAACCTACATCAGAAACACTTTCCTCAAATAATATTCTTTGGTTGTCCAGCTAAGTTAAATGAAAAAGAATTTATTTAGAAATAACTCATGCTTTTCCTAGAAAACCTACCAACCCTGTTAAGTATATAAAGGAACAGTTTTTTCCAAATAAAATCTCGGTTTAATTAAATTTTAGTTAGCATTTTGTATACCTTTTTAAGTAAATGTAGCAGATATTTTAGAGAATACTTGTAAAAGTTAATGGGCTGGAAAATAAAGCCCCAGAAAAGACTTAATAAACCAGAATTACAAGTCATACTAGATTTAGTTTGAACACAGTGTTTACCTACTTTAATAATTTCATCCTGCTTAACAAATGTTTATAAAATGTCTATCTAATCACAACTCTAATTACCTGATGATTCTGTCAAATGATGGAACCTGCTTAGTCAGTGTTAACCTGTTTAATAAATATATTCTTTATCTTACCCAATGTACTTTTTTAAACATTCTCCAACTACCCCTTAAGTCATCCTTTTTTTTCCTGTATTTCCTGCTGTAAATAGCCATATATTCTCTTTCTACAGTTAAGTTTTTTTCAGGCATTTTATGCATCAGCTCTAAAGAACTAGATCTACTTAAGTTAGTAACATTTGTACAATAACAGCTGAAGCACAACCGAAGCTTTTGGAAGCAAGTAGCTATCTTTTTGCTGATCTCAAAAACATCTTAGAACATACCACTTTATGCCTGAAAATCCTTTCTGGATAAATAACTGAATACAAAAGTTCAATGTGATAACTATTTTCTGTGCTTTGATGTATGTTAAAATATATTCATTCAACCTTTTCTACTTATTTTTGTTTCTGAGATAGGTTTATTCAGGGTTGAAAGTGATCATCTTCAGCTTTATTCTTTGTATTCTTTCTGCATTGATTGTGTACAAGAGTTTTGGAAATAAGGCTACATTGGAATGAAGTTGCATCATATATCCTAAGTAACCCCTTCTATGGTTCAAAGACTTTTAGCACTCTGCTCCAGTTGCTTTATTGAAGATGTTTTCTCAATTTCTTGATAAATGTGTTTATATATAGTAGCCCTAATTGCTCATGCCTGAATACTTAAGACTTACCATTGTTGCTCCTGATTTGTTGAGTGTGCATAGGGAGCTGGGAGAAGTTGTTTAGTTTAGGAAATTAAGTGAATTAGAGAGCTAAGTAAACATTTATTTAATTAATATTCTGTAAGTGTCTTAAAAGTAAATACAGTAGAATTCAAAAGGTGTCATTTTTTAACCATCAATGCCAATAAGTACAGTTTCCAATCTTCAAGAAAAGTATTTCAGGGGGCATGTAGTTCATTTTATAACTAAGTAAGTTATTTATCCTGCTGATATAATTTTCTTCATAACAGTGGCTTATAATACCTGACTTAGGATCACCTGGGACAATTTTAATGAAATAATATCAGGGTGGAGCTCAGTGGTAGAATGTGTTCAGTTTCCAGCACTGAAAAACAAAACTGAAAATATCATGGCCCTACACCAGATCAGTTATATCTGTGGGACCCAGGCATTAGTTGTTTGGAGAAAATTTCCTGTAATATCATTACCACATTTTGAAAAATTAATCAAATATTTTGTTAGTGTTTGGATTTTCCTGATTATGTCCATTTTTAAAAATAGTTTTTTTAGTTGTCAGTGGACATTTTTTTTATTTATTGATATGTGGTGCTGAGAATTGAACCCAGTTCCTCACATGCTAGTCAAGCACTCTGCCACTGAGCCACCACCCCAGTCCAGATTATGTCCATTTTTTAAAAAACAGACTGAGCAGGGATGGGGTTATGGCTCAATGGTAGAGCGCCCCACCTGGCACGTGTGAGGCGCTGGGTTTGAATCTCAGCATCACATATAAATAAATAAAAAATAAAGATATTTACTGTGTACCTACAACTAAAAAATAAAATTAAAAAAAAAAACCAGACTGACCAAACCAGGGGCCATGTAAAGTGTATACATTCCAATTGATTGATGTCTCTCTTATGAAACATTTTTTTTTTTTGGTGTTAAAAATTGAACCAGGGGCCTCGCATATGCTAACCATGAACTGTACCAAGCTATACCCCCAGGCCAAAGTTTTTAAATTTATAGGATCTCTCTCC